GAGCCGCCGATGCAGCTCTACTGGACCTGGCTGCTGCAGTGGGTCCCGCTCTGGGTGGCCCCCAACACCATCACCATCCTCGGCCTCGCCATCAACCTGCTCACCACGCTCGTGCTCATCTCCTACTGCCCCACGGCCACCGAGGAGGTAGGGCTAGCTGCCCCGACTGCTGTCCCGGGAGTCTTGCGTTCCCCGCCCCAGCCCGGTGCGCTGCGGGCCGCTCGCTAGGGGCGCCAAAGGAGAGCGGAGACCCCCGAGCGGCTGAGCCTTCCCGGGGCCGCGGAGGGGCGACCACGGCCACTGTCCTCGCGCCCTTAGAGCCCCGAGCCGCACGGAGGCTGTAACTCCACTGCCCCAGTCCCGTGACCATCCCGATCCTCCCCACGGGGAGCGGAGGGGCTGTCAAGGTCACCGCCCCAGGCCCATGTCCGCCCAGATCCTCCCGGGGTCGCGGAGGGGCGGAGGCCTGCCTGTCCCGCCGCCACCCCAACCGACGCCAACCCGTGCGACCAGCGGTCGGGTACTTTGCACCTTGGGGACTGAGCACCGCCATCTCCGGACTGCCTGGAGTAAGGGCCAAGCCCGAGATGTTCTTTGGACACTTTTATAACCGGCTGTAATCAAAGGTTGTGCTACTTACCCTTAATTTACTGGTAGCACTGATCAAAGAAAAGTTACTTTTAAGAGGTAACTTCCTCTTTACTTCATTGACTTTTTCATGAAAAACAAACTAGGGAATTGTCATTGCAACAATCCTTATCATCACGACCCAGAGATCATAAAAGCGAACATATTTTATTAGCAATAATTATATCTGACCTGTGTCCAAAGTAAGAAGAGCAAATAATGTTGGCTTCGGACAACTGTTAATCAGAGGAGCACAGGGTTGAGAGCGGGGGGCGAGGGGTGAGTGGGGTTCAACTCCCATCTATGGCTTATTATAGTGCATGGGATCAATATTACATGGTACATTCTGTGACATTGCTTTCTTTTCTTTGTCCTCCAAATAGTTAAGTCCCTTTATAATCATATTTGGGCATAGGTCCAGTGGAGGACAGATTGAATTCAGGTTAAATAACAGGAATATAGTGGAAATGCTTCATACTCTCCATCCATGCATCCGTTTTGTAAAAAATGTTTGATAGAGCTTACATTTTAAAATATCTTGCCAATCGATCGATATATTTATTATATATTTCTTAGTAGACATCCCCATTGTTATTCATTTCCATATTGTTTGGAAAAAGTGAGCCTGTTATCAGAATTTCCCAGAAGCAGTGTATTAGAATGAAAAGATAGGTGGGTTGGAAGTGGAGGACTTGGCTTCTGACTAGCTCTGCCATAACAGACCTGCTGGGTCTGTTTTCCCATTTATAAAGTAGAAAATAAGGCCTGCCAAGCCAATTTCACAAGGATGCAGTTAGGACCAAATGACATATTATTTGCACATAAATGTAGAAAATTATAATTTGTTCAACAAATTAAAAATATTATTCAACACATTAAAAATATTACCATTATTAAACAATGTCCTGAAAATGCATAATTAAATTAATTTTGTTTGGGCCTAGGTTTGGCTACCAGCATTTGGATATTTCTGATATTGGCCAATTAAATCATGAATTCTTCAATGTTATTGTTAACTTAAGAACCATTTATTGAGCACTTATAAAAAGCAGAACATACAAACAAGTCCAAGAGCTCCTGTTTAGGGGAGTAAAGGGGGGCCTGATGGAAGAGGCAAATTTGTGTTTAATTTTTAGGCTTAGCCTCATTTTAAAAAAAGGGGGTGGGATGGGGATTTAAGGCACTTTAAAAAAAAAAAAAAAAAGTTAAAAAGTAGAATGGCCCAACAAAGGGGAATAAGGATTAAAAGAAGATGAAATTAGAAGAGTTTATGAAATGTATGTCATTAGATCCTGCATATGCTTCTAAGTGACTAAAGCAGTGTGGGGAAACACCATTACAGGAGCCACAATGCTTGTTTGCTAAAACCCCAGCAGTGTGAAAGAGCATAGCAGATCCCAACTATTTCACCTTAAGGTCATAGAACTAGTAAATGTTAGGACCGGTTAGGATTCAGATCTAAGTTGGTCTGAGTCCAAACCTCATTCTTTTTACTACGTACTGCCACCTGCTTGTTTGGAGTTTCTGCCTTTCTCTATGTAGTATGCAGGAAAAATACCTTTTATATAATACAGGTATGTAAAGTGCTTTCACATCCATTGTGGCATTTATGTCTTGTACCAACTCAAAGAGGTTGGCAAGTTTTTCCCCTCCTAGAATAGCCTTCCTGCCATCTCAGTATTTCTTCTATCTATCCATCCTGAAGAAACAGTAGTAGTTTATATATTTTCACAAGAGATTTCCTCTTATGAGCCCAGAGAGGTTAAGTGAGTAACCTGGCTTGGAACTTGTTTTCTGATCCTCAAACTTAAGAATTCATAGTGCTTTTTCAGACTTGACAGATTGCTTTTAGAAAGGGTCAGAAAAAACAGTATGGTTTTTGGATTTAGATGCTTGGGCTTATCTACTCATATAGGCTGTAATGTTGGCTATATATTTATATTAATAATAATATTTGATATATTTTTAACTACTGTGGACATAACTGGGAATGAAGGGAAACTAATAAAAAAAAAGTTGTGATTTATATTAAGCTTCTGCAATGGTGCTCTGGACTGCTTTTCAGCCATTATTTCTGTTAAGGAACTTCCCACCCCAGTCCAATTGCACTACTTACTATAGCAATGATTTCCCTCCTTCATGTCCCTCTCTTTTCTCCTTCCTCTTCCTTTCTCCTGCCCCACTTATCCAACTTCCTACCCATCTTCAATGCCTAATTCTAACACTACCTACATATGAAATTTTTCTTCCTTTTCCCAAGTCAAATCAACCACTTAATCCTCTGAACTCCCATAATGATAACTAACATTTATGAGATATTTACTGTGGCAAAAGTTTAAGCTGCTTTTGTTCCATTATAACATTCAATCCTCTCAACAACCTTATGAATAAGGCACTGTTAATATCCTCATTTCACAGATTAGGAAACTGAAGGGAAATTAATCTCTTCTAGGGTCACATAGCTTTAAGTGGGGATCAGGATTCCAAGCCAGAAAGCTATGCCTCCTTTGTATGGCTTTGTAGCTCTCCTGTGGATTTCATTTTATTTTAGTTATGTGTGTCCTTATTGAGTAGGACAACCCACCAGATTTTCATTTTTTTTTTTTTGTCTTTTTTCATGACCGGTAACGGGATCGCAACCCTCAGTGTCGCGCCCGTACCGCGACCGGCAACAGGATCGCAACCCTCGGTGTCGTGCCCGCACCGCGCTCAACCAGCGAGCGGACAGGTCTCTATATGGGATCCAAACCCCGTACCGCGACCGGCAACAGGATCGCAACCCTTGGTGTCGTGCCCGCACCGCGCTCAACCAGCGAGCGGACAGGTCTCTATATGGGATCCGAACCTAGCGGACAGGTCTCTATATGGGATCCAAACCCTCGGCGGGAGTGCCGCACTCTACCAAGTGCACCACCGGGCCAGCCCCAGATTTTAAATTAAGACAGCAATTGCACATTTGTATAACCTCCATAGCACAGTGCCTTGCATGAAGCAAATGCTTAGTAAATATTTGCTAAATTATTGACTGCATGAATGAAAAAACAGTATAATCTTGAGAAATGATGGTTTTCAACCATTAGTGTTAGCTGTTCTTGTATTAAATATTTACCAATTGTTTGGCCTGTGTAAGTTTGAGGAGAGTAAGCAAGTCGTAGGGTGAATGAAGAAAATAGGAACTGAACTGTCTCCTTCTCATCTTGATAAAGCAATTCTATCTGAACACCAATCTATGTTTGTAATCCTGGTCCCCATTCCTCGGCCACCTAATCCTAAAATGGAATCACAGTTTCTTAGAGTTTGAAAGGACCTTAAATCTTATTTAATGCAGTTCCTACATTTATATGTGATAACTTAGTGATTCAAATTGAGTTCCTCTAGCTCCAGACTAGTAGCATTCTCTACTACAAAACACTCACTCCATACTCTTATTTTTGACTGATGTAAACTGTGACTTCATTCCTTTTTACTTATTTGATTAAATGTTTTTGCCCTGCCTTCTTATCTGTATATATAAATCCATGTCAGCATCTCTATTAAGAGTATGTTTATAGCAGACAGGTGTCTAGCTTAGGGCCAGGTCAAAGAGCATTGACTAACGCATTTCTTTTGTTTATGATGATAGAAAATTGAGCCGAAAAGCAAGTATACCTGAGGAAGCCAGAAAGACCTTAAGAAATGGTTTATTCCCTGTTTAGATAACTCACATTATAGTTGCCTGGTTACTACATAGTACAGAGTTATTTGTTTGCATTCACACAAGAGTCACTAGCAGAGACAAAGAAAAGAAGAGGATGTCTCTTTACACAAAACCCATTCCAGAGTGACAGAAGAAGCATCTTCTCTACGATAATATTGGGGGACTGAACACACCTCTCAGCATTGGACAGATCATCTAGGCAACAAATCAACAGACTAACCATTATTCTTTCAGAAGGAGAGAAGAAATCTAGGGTAATTAGAGGGGTGAGGGGGGAGGGAGCGAGGGAAGGGGAGAGATTGGACAAGGGGCATGAAGTAAGTATATTTGTAACAATATATATGCTAGTAATATTGATTTGATCAATGTATCTCAACATTGAACCCCCAAAATATGTATAATCAATTATGATTCAATAAAACTTTTTTTTAAAAAAAGTGAAATGAGAGAGAGAGAGGAAACTCTAGGACCCAAGAAAGGTTCCAAGCTGGTCTCAGTAATAAGTATTAACTGAGCCCTTAGGTGCATGCACTATTCTAGCTTCTGGGAAAGCACTAAAAAAAAACCCCATATCTGAGTTATAAGCATTCTGGCCTCTCTGTAGCATCAGGGGTGGGGCACCTTTCTTTCTGTTCCACAGTACAGGAAAGCAGGAACCATTAAAGTGAGATAAACAGGAAGTATCATACAGAGCTTGGTTTCACTTCCTGGGGGAATGGAGCTCTAGGTGGAACTTCAGGCAGGAAATGAATCCTTCAAATGATTGGGCTTCATAAGGGAACAGAGATACTCTGTTCCCACACAGTGAGGGTTGTTTTAATGA